CGTCCATGCCGCTGATGTGCAGGGCCCACAGCACCCGGTCGTGCACGCTGGCGTCCCCGTCCACGCCCTGGGGGCACGGTGGGTGGGGAGTGGGGGTCTGCACAGAGCCATGGCGGCCCTAGACTTGCTGGGGAGGTGGGGAAGGGCCCCATCCCGGTACCTGCTCCTCCGTGGGGTCCGGGGGGACGTGCAGCACATTGCGCAGCAGCAGCAGGATCCTCTCGATCAGCAGCGTGTCCTCCTCCTGTCGCTGCTCCCAGTCCTGGGGGGATGGAGCTGTCAGATCCCCCCGTAGCCCCACAGAGTCCCCCAGCAGGGACAGACCCCGCAGCCCCTCAGGGACTCACCAGCTGCAGGAGGTCGTAGAGCTTCTCGCTGAGCACCACGAAAACCTTCTCGCTGGCGAAAGCCTGCAGAGAGCCCACGTGAGCGAGGGGCCTGTGGGCAGAGACATCACCCAGAGCCCTGTCCCAGGCAGACTCACCTCCTTGTAGGCCTGCAGGTAGGACAACACCTGGAGAAAGTGGTGCCGGGAGGCTGCATCCGCGGGCACCTTCCCGAAGCAGAGCAGGGCCGGCTGCGTCAGGTTCACCATCAGCCTGCGAGTGGGTGGAGGGGTGTGAGGGACCCTGCTCTGCAAGGAGCCCCCACAGGGCCACCCCCGTCCCCAGACCTGTCCCCCAGTACCTGACGATGGCATCGAAGAGCACCTTGTCCTGCGAGTACTGCACCAGGATGGGCAGCAGGTCGTTCTGCAGGATCTGGGCTGCCCCCAGCTGCTGCCGCACGTCCCGGGTCTCGTCCTCATGGCGCAGGTACCGGATCAGGTCCTTGACGCTCTCTGGGGGGACACGGGTTCGTGAGTCCCCACCATCCCCGGCACCCCCCGCCTCCCCCCCCGGCGCCCACCTACCCAGGCAATCGGGCTCCCGGTGGTAGACGTCACCCTCCAGGTAGCCCAGGGCGCTGCAGGTGGCCAGGAGCTCGCAGTTCATCATGTACCAGTCCATGCAGCGCGGGGCTGCGCACCGGTACCGGCACCGGGGGCCGCCTGCGGGGCACCGTCAGCGCCGCCGGGTACGCCCGGTCTGGGGTCCTCCGGGACCTCCCGCCCGTCCCGGGCTCCCGCGATACCGCCCCACCTGTCGGTCCCAGTCCCCCTCCATACCAGAGCACCCCGCTTGTCCCGGTCCGGTGGCGGATTCCCGAACCCGGAGCATCCCCCAGTCCCAGTCCCCTCCAATGCCGGCGAACCTCTCAGTCCCGGCCCCGCCCTATACCGGCCCACCCCACAGCCCCGGTCCGCCCCGATCCCGGAGCACCCCCTGCTCCCGGTCGACCGTGATCCCCACCCCCAATCCCGGAGCACCTCCCAGGCCCCGGTACCCCCCTCGATCCCGGAGCACCTCCCAGACCTCGGTACCCCCCTCGATCCCGGAGCATCCCGCGACCCCGCATTCCCCCGGGCCGGTACGGGTTGCCCCCGGCCCACCGCGAACCCCGATCACCCCGCAGCCCCCGGCGCCCCCTGATCCCGGACTCCCCCGATCCCGATGCCGCCCCGTCCCCGCTCACCGCCGCCCCGTCCCCGCCGCTCCCGCGATCCCGGCGCGGGGGCGGCCTTACACAACCGGCCCAGTTCCCGCGGAGCGAGGCCCCGCCCCGCGCGCGCCCTTCAAGGGGCAACTTCACTCCTGCTCCCTGTGGGCCCTCTCACCCCCCCACACTCCCCCAGCCCGCCGCCCACCACGGGTGCGGACCAGCGGAGCGATGCCCCGCCGTGCCCCGCCGACCCCTCCCCTCGACCCTCGCCCTGCGGCGCCGAAGGGGGGGGGGCACACATACAGCTCTCTCTGAGGGGAGGAGGCGCACGGAGGCGTTGCCCATTTAAGAGCGGCGCTGGCTGGGCGTGGCCTCGCCGCGGGCGCGGGAACGGGCGGCACCTCCCGCCACCTCCGCGCGGTGCCCGGGGGGGCTCCGGTGCGTGTCCCCCCCTCCGGTCCCTCCCGGATCCCGGCGCCGGGCACGGCCGCGAGCGGTTACCAAAATAAAAGAGCAGGTTTAATTCACCGAACACAGAAGTCCCGCCGCGGCGGGGCGGGGCGGCCCCGGCCCGGTACGGGCGGCCCCGGGCAGCCCGGTGCCCGGTTGCCGGCAGTGGGGGCCCCGCCGCCGCCCGCCCGCCGCGCCGCGCCGCACACACACGCACCACACGCACCGCGGCGGCCCCGTCACAGCAAAGCAGCGGCGGGCGCGGGGCCGCGCCCCGGGACGGGCCCCGTTACAGCCCCTGCGTCTTCAGCTCCAGCGGCTCTGCCGGCGGCTCGGGCGGCGGCTCGGCGACAGCGGTGACGGCGGCGGCGGCGGGGACGGTGACGGCGGGCGGCTCTCCCTTGAGGGCGGCCAGGCGCTCGGCCAGGCTGCGCGGCCGCGGGCACAGCGCGAACTCGTACAGCACCGCGCCCAGCGCCGCGCCCAGCAGCGGGCCCGCCCAGTACACCTGCGGGGGGGCGGCGTGGGCACCGGCACCCGGGGGTCCCGGCCCCCCCGCCCCCCGAGGCACGGCACCCTCACCGCCGACCCCCGGGGCCGCGGGCACCCGGTGAGCGGGGGGGCGACCGCGTGTCCCGCCCCCGGGATATCGGGGTGGGGGCGCAGGACCTGCCCCCCGGTGAGCAGCGAGCGGCCGCATCCCCGCCAGGATATCGGGGGGCAACAGCTCTGGGGGTCCACCAACACCCCGGGGCGCTGCTGTCACCGCGGTGACACCGGCAGCCGCCCGGCGGGGACACGGGGGCTGGGGCAGGGTGGGGACAAGCAGGGAGGGACTGGGGGGGGGCCGGGGCGGGTCTGGGGGTCCCCGTCCCCCCCCACTTACCCAGTGGTTGGTGAAGTCGCGGGTGATGACGGCGGGGGCGAAGGAGCGAGCGGGGTTCATGCCGGCGCCCGTGTAGTGGATCTGCGGGAGAACGGGGGGCTGGGGGGCTGGACAGCAGCCCCCCGGGTCTCGCTCAGCCCCCGGGGTCCGGGCAGGGGGGTCCCCGCGGCCGCCCTTACCCCGAAGAGGTGGCCGAGGGCGAGGGAGAAGCCGACGGGCACGGCGGCCATGCCCGGGCGCCCGTCGTGACGGTCGTCGAAGCTGGCGAAGACGCAGAGGACGAACTGGGCTGTCAGGAGCACCTCCACCACCGTGCCCTGGCCTGGGCCCACGCCGGGGTGAAGCTACACGGGGAGGGGGGCTAAACATCCTGCAGAGATGCTTCCCCGATCCCCCCAGCACCCCAATCCCCCCTCGTTGTCCCTCCACACCCTCCAACCCCACTGTACCCCAAATCCCTTCTTGCCCCAAACCCCTCCCAGACACCCAGCCCCCATTACTGTGCCACACCACCCCGAAACCAAAAACACCTCTTGGACCCCCCAGTCACCTCTGAACACCTCAACTCCCCATCACAGCCCCATGGTACCCCAAAACACCTCCTGGACCCCCCCCAATCTCCAATCTGCCCCCTCGCCCCAACACATCTGAACCCCTCAACCCCCCATTACAGCCCCACGGTATCCCAGACCCCAAAACACCTCCTGGACCCTCCAGCCCCCCATTAACCGCCCCAAACACCTCTGAACCCCTCAACCCCCCAGTACAACCCGAACCCCACTCCCCCTCCCCGCCCCACAGTCCCCCAGCCCTGCAGACACCCCCAGCCCCCCCGACCCCCCGGTGCCCCCGCTCACCGCGTTGAGGCCGAGGGTGCCGCGGACGGGGCCCGGGGTCACCCCGTAGAGCACCCCAGCCCCGGCCAGCGCGCCCAGCACCTGGGCCAGCAGGTAGCCCACGGTGCGGGCCACGGAGAGCTGCGAGGCCAGCATGAAGGCCAGCGTGATGGCCGGGTTGACGTGGCCGCCGCTGACATGGCCCAGCGCCTGCACCAGGGTGGCCTGGGCCAGCCCGAAGGCCAGGGCGGACCCCACGACGCTGGGGGGGCCCGGGGCCCAGCGCAGGGAGGCCCCCAGCCCCAGCAGGGCATAGAGGAAGCTGCCCAGGAACTCGGCCAGGACGGCCCTCCAGAAGGAGGACGAGCGCAGCTCCCGCATGGCCTGGCCCCGCTGCCCTCCACGGCCCCGCTCCCCTCCCCGGGGGCCGCCCGTGCCCACCTTTATAAGGCCCCCCCGGGCCAGCCCCGGGGGTGGGATCCCACCTCTGCCACCCCCCCTTAACCTCTTCGCTGCCCAGGGCAGGGGACGGGTGACACGCAGCAAGGAACCCCCCACGAGCCCCCCCGGGACAGCCCTGTGGCACCCCCTGATAGCGGGGACCCCCCCAGAGCTGTGCCCCCCGCCCCTGGGGTTGCCTGGGGTGGGGTGGGGCTGTGACCCACACACAGGTGCTCTCTGTGTGGTTTGGGGGACCCCCATGCTCGGAGCAGCGCCGAGGCACCTCCAACCCCCCTCCAGTGCTTTGGGGACACTTTGGGGCAACCCCATTGGGAGCCTCCCCCACCCACAGGGGGGGTCCTGGGTGGCCCCCCCGGTTCGGGCCCGCTGGGGGCTGCGGGGGCTGCCCCCCCCGGCGCTGTTGTCTGCGGGAGGGTTTATTCAGCCCGGCTTAGCGGGCGCTGAGTCCCCGGCTGGGGGGATTAGGGCTCGGCCCGGCCATTGGCGCCCGCCGGAATCTGCCGGGGCTGCAGAGGCCACCACAAAGGGCTTTGCTGTGCTCAGCGCCCCGGCACGGGACGGGCCGACGGGGGGTCCCGGCCCCCGCCCTCGCCGGGGGGCCACAGGGAGGGGGCACCCACCCGCCGGCAGCCCCGGCGTCGTCGTGGTGCCCTCGTGGTCCGAGGGTGGTGGTCGGGACCCCCCGCCCCTCACAGCATCACTCTGCGCCCACCTGCAACCCCCAACCACCTTTAATCCCGCCGGGGGGCAGAGAGGACAGTAAAAGGTTGGGGGGGGCTGGAGCCATCGTGCGGGGACCCCTCATCTGCCCGGGGGGACACCCTGCCCCGGCTGCCCCCCATGGAAGGTTCTGGGCTCTGCGAGGAAACGGTGTCGGGGTGTCGAGGGTCGGTGGGGTGGGTCGGAGAGGGGGGTCCGGGGGCTCAGGCTGTCCCCTGGTCCCGCTCAGCCGGGGGGGCTGGGGGGCCACGGGCAGAGAGTGAGGAAGGGGACGGGCTGGGGGTCTCCACCAGTGCCACGTCCCGGCAGGCGAGGCAGGCGCCCAACTTCTCCCGGGAGGCTCCGGGGGCCAGGACGAACTCGTAGGAGAGCCCGGCCAGCACCGCACCCAGCACCGGCCCCAGCCAGTACACCTGGGGGGGCACAGAGTGTTGGGGGGCTCCAGGGAGTGGGGGGGCACAGGGGGAGGGGCTGCTCAGGGGATGGGGGGACCAGGGACCCCACACCAGTGACGGGGACTGAGACAAGGTTGACCCGTCCCAGGGAGACCCACCCAAGGGAAGGGAAGACCTGGGAACCCCGTCCTGTGGTAAGGAGGGGACCACAGGGGGTCCCACTCTGCATCCGGGGACCCACCCCCACCCTGGGGTCTCTGAGGTGACCCGAGGGTGCCCCCAACTCACCCAGTGGTGGTCCCAGACCCCGGTGACGACGGCCGGCCCCAGCACACGGGCGGGGTTCATGCTGCCCCCCGAGAATGGCCCCTGCGGGGCACACGGTCAGGGGCTGGCGGGGTGGGGACCCCCGTGGCTGGGGGGACACTCTGGGGGGTCCTCACCGCGGCCAGGGCGCCGGCGGCCACGGCGCTGCCCAGGGCCAGCCCGGCCTGCGGGGCCGCGCGCTCGGCCGTGGCGAAGGCGGCCAGTGCCAGCTGGAAGGTGGCGAAGGTCTCCCAGGCCAGCGCCGTCCCCGCCGTCCCCACCTGCGGGAAGGACACCTGTCCCCCTGTCCCGAGCGCCCCGGGACGGGCGCGGGGCCGGGGACACTCACCCTGGGGAGCAGGGGTCGGGGACACTCACGCTGGGGACCAGGGGCTGGGGACACTCACCCTGGGGACCAGGGGCCGGGGACACTCACCCTGGGGAGCAGGGGTCGGGGACACTCACGCTGGGGACCAGGGGCTGGGGACACTCACCCTGGGGACCAGGGGCCGGGGACACTCACCCTGGGGAGCAGGGGTCGGGGACACTCACGCTGGGGACCAGGGGCTGGGG